AGCCCCAGAAAGAGGCTGTCAGCCCCAGAAAGAGGCTGGCGGGTGTTGCAGGATCAGGAAGCAGAGAGAGGTGGGGGCGGGGCCGGGTCTAGAGGCAGTGCTCCTGGGGCCCAAGGAAGGCACCAAGCCGGTGGGGGTGAACAGGGTCAGGAATCAGCAGTGGCTCCCCAGGTGTCTGGGGCCCCAAGACTAGGAATGGCACAGGGCCCAAGCTAGGAGTAGAGAACAGCGGGGGGGATGGAAGGGTGAGCGGGGGAGATGGAAGGGTGAGCGCGGCTGGCGGAGTCAAGGCGGGGAGGGCTGCAAGGTAGACTTACCCCCAGAGAGGCCTGAGGGCGTGAGAGCGGGCCAGGAGAGTTAGCCAGTGGTGCAGGTCCCGGAAGCAGGGAGAGGTGAGGGCGGGGCCAGGTCCCGCGGAAGCAGTGCTCCTGGGGCCCAAGGAAGGCACCAAGCTTGGCCTTTTATTTTTAGGCAGAGTCTTACTGAGTTATCAAGGCTGGCCTTGAACTTACTCTGTAACCCAGGTAGGCCTTGCATCTGTCCTTCTTCCTCTGCCTCTCGGGTAGCTGAGGTTATGGTCTTTACTACTAGGCCAAGACTCATTTTATTGTTTGTTTATCTGTGGTATTGGGAGACTGGGTCTTACTATGTATTCCTGTCTGGCCTTGAACTCATAGAGATCTGCCTGCCTTTGCCTCCCAAGGGCTGGGACTAAAGGTGTGCAGCACCATGTCCAAGACCCATTTTCATATTTACTGATGTTACTTCAACTTAAAATCTGTTTCAGTTGTTTCTGATGTAGTGGTTAAGAACAAAGGCTTTAGTTGGACTGGCAAGGTGCCTCAGCTGGTAAAGGCACTTGCCACCAAGCCTTATGGCCAGAGTTTGATCTGTAGGACCCACATGCTAGAAGGAAATAACTGACTCCCACATGTTGTTTTCTGGCCTGGCATGCACATGCCTCCTAACCAGATAAATAAAAAATATTTAAAGAATAAAGGCTTCGGGCCGGAGAGATGGCTCAGTGGTTAAGAGCACCGACTGCTCTTGCAGAGGACCTGGGTTCGAATCCCAGCACTCACATGGCGGCTACAAACCATCCTTAACTCCAGTTCCGGGGAACCCGACACTCTCTATTGACCTCCGCGGCAGTGCACAACACAGGTGTACTCACATACATGCAGGTAATACACTCATACACATAAAATAAAAATAACAGAATATATTTTTTAAAAAGGAATAAAGGCTTTGGGATCAAATTGCTCCATCATTTTCTAATTGTATGATTTTTTACTAAGTAATTAACCTCATCAATCCACTTTTATATCTGAAAAGCAAAATACTGATGCCTATTGTTATTGTGAGAAATAAATGCATGAAAGTGCATAAAATGGCCTAAATGCTTTCATATTCTGAATATTTACTTCAGTATGTACTCAGTGTTATAAAAGTTATTTTAACAGTTACGCTAAGTGATAGCAAAGAGTTACTGTTCCAATTAAACTAGCTACTCCATGATTCCAAAAATTGTACATTTTTATTGTGTTAACTTTATTAGTTTCATTAATTGCATAAATATAAAATAAAAGAGCAGCAGTACATTATGCTATAGAGTATGAGAAATGAACTCATTAAATTGTTACCTAAAGTGATGGAAATATATTGATAAGTCCCAGAAAATCTGCTACCAACCATGTTTTGATTGCTCAACGAAGAATCAACGGTTAATTCAATTTCTGTCTTTGTTTTTCTTTTTAAAAACTGGGCAATTTGGGCTAGGTGTGTTGTATAAGCCTATAATCCTGGCACTCTGGACACAGAGATATAAGATCAGAAGTTTAGGGCTAGCCCGGGCTGCTCGACCAGTTTAAAGCTAGTTTGGGTAACTTGGTGAGATCCTGCCTCAAAATAAAGGTGAAAAATGGAGTAGGGATCGATCTCAGTGAAGGAAGGCTTGCCTAGCAAGACTGTAGGGTCAATCCCAGGCCTGCTGAATAAAAACACAAAAAACACTAGGGCACTTTAATAGAGGGGGGAATGTTAGAGGGGAGAGAGTGGGCATGGATTTGATCAAAACACCTTATATACATGTATGAAATTCTCAATAAAGTTTTTGTAAAAATAAAAAAAATGCATAAAAATTTGTTTATGTGTATAAGTGCTTTGCCTGCATGTATGTAAGTGCATCACATGCCTGCAAACCCAGAGGGGCTAAAAGAGGGCATTGGATCTCCTGGAACTGGAGTTACAAACAGTTATTAGCCGCCATGTAAGTGCTAGGAACCAAACTTGGGTCCTCTGGAAGAAAGACTCATGCTCTTGATGCTGAGCCATCTCTCCAGCCCCCTTGTTTCTTCATTTTTATCTGTTAGTGTGATAGACATTGTTTTCTAAAATAAAAAAGAGATGAAGTGTTTTAGTATGAGATTTTTTTTTCTTTTTTTTTTTTTGGTCTGTTTGAGATAGGGTCTTCCTGTAGCCCCAGCTGTCCTGGAACTTACTATGTAGACCAGGCTGGCCTTGAACTCACAGAGATCCACCTGCCTCTGCCTCCTGAGTGCTGGGATTAAAGGTGTGCACCACCATGCCTGGCTATAAGATAAATATTTTAAGAGGAACATTCTAAGAGCAATTAAATCTAATGTAGTCTTGTTTTTATATGCTTAAACTGTCTTTGTAGTAGAGGCCCTACATTTAAGTGCCATTGAAGCTGGATGCAGTAATATATATGTATAATCCCAGAATCTGGAAGGCTAAAACAGGAGGATTGACACCTTTTCTTAAAAAAAAAAAAATGTGATAGGAGATAGTGTCTTTTTGTTGTTTCATTTTGTTCTTTTATAGTGATGGAGGTAGGATCTGACGTCCTGTGCATGCTAGGGAAGTGTTGCCCCACTGCAGTGCACTCCTAGCAGTGAAAATGGAGGCTGAAGTCTGGGCAATAAAAGGACAAATTCAAACTCAGTGCTTTTTCTGTGAAGCAGAGGCAAAAATTACCAATTGACCATTGGTGTGTTAGCTGATAGCCCAGGTGCAAAAAGAAGAATGATAGAAAGTCTGGTTGGCAGCACAGGCCTGTGACCCCAGCACTCAGGAGTCTGAGTCCTGCAGGAGGGGGAAATTTCAAAGCCAACCCAGGGCAACAAGACCCTGGCTCCATAAAACAAAGAAACAAGATTGTCCAATTTTTAGCCAAAATGAGTATTAATTGTATTTATGCTTTAAGTGAACAATTATTTTTGAAATGTTTTATGTGTGTCTTTAATCTCCAGATATATAACATCTAATGTGTCACTGTTTTATTTTACAAACTACTTTCTTCAAGAATTGCTACCCTTGTCTCATATTTCTTTCACCCTTTATAAACTGGCTTCTACCCCTTTCAACCTCTGGTGACTGCCTAATTATTTATATACGTGACCTTTTCTTTGTGTGTGTGCACTTGTGAAGAGACCAGAAGACGATGTTGGATGGTCTTTATTGCTGTCTACCCTATTCCTTTTACATGGGTCTCACTGAACCTGGAGCTCACTGTCACCTACACTGAGTGACCAGGAAGCCCTAGCAATCCTCCTGCCTTTGCATGGACTTTTATATGTGTGGGGATCTGAGTTCAGGTCCTCCTGCTTGCACAGCAAGCACTCTTGCCCTCTGAACCATCTTCTGATCCCATGAGTGAGTTATTTTATAGATTTTTGTCACTGGCCATTTCCATTGTCTACCACAGTTTCATGGAATTTTCTTCCTTTCAGGCTATTCCTGTATTTTTCTTTTTTTAAAAAATGTTTTATTTATTATTTTTTATTGTATGTGTATGAGTGTATTGCCTGCATGTGTGTAAGTGTACCTGTGCAATGCCTGTGGCGGTCAAAAGAGGATGTCAGGTCTCATGGGACTGGAGTTAGACAGTTGTTACCCACCATGTGGGTACTGGGAATTGAACCCAGGTCCTCTGCAGGAGCAGTCAGTGCTCTTAATCTCTGAGCCATCTCTCCAGCCCCCATCTTGTATTTTGTTAAGGGACTATTTTTTATCATGCTTTTAAGTGTTGCAGATTTTCCGGATTTATATTGTAAAGTTTCTTAATTTTCACTTTTTTTTTTTTTTGAGACAAGGTCTCACTATTAAGTCCCAGCTCATCTTGAACTCATTATGTAGTGGGGGTTGGGCTTAAATTCCTGATCTTCCCATCTCTGCCTTCTCATTTATAGAATTTTGAAAAGCTCATGCGCTGTATTCTTTCCCATACAAGTTGTCATCCAGTGTAGAATTGAAGAATCTTTAAAAAGTTTCCTAGTTGGTTTTGATGAATAGCTAGGGCTGTGAAACACTGACCTATACATGTGAGATTCTTCATCATTGAGCATAGGATTCCTCAGCATCTAGTGTCTGTCAGCTTCTCCAGCACCATCTCTTCCTGCTCTCTCTCACTGTTTGCTGTCCACATCCCTTTTTCTGGCTCCAGAACTCACCAGGCTTGGTCCTCTTTGGTGACTGTAGCATACTTTTCTAAATTGAAAGGTCCCAGATTTCGTCTTGTCCCTGTCTCTTCCCAGCCACGGGAAAAACACTGGACTAATCCAAATCAACCAGACCAAGAAAGTCATGTCATAGTGAGTGGCAGAACATATATAATAGTATTTGTATTTCTAACCATTCTTACTGCTGTTTTAATAATTATTGTATATGAGCAGGTTAATCTTAAAAAAACTTTAAAATATTTTCCTTTCTAAACAAAGCATTTTTTGTTCCCTCGTTTATTTGTTTATTTACCCATTTACCCTTTATTTGAATATACAAGGAGCAGAACAGGACCTAGGGATGAATGGGTAAAAAAATCTTAAATAATATAAATGTCCTGTTCTTTTCAGCCTTAAGACACATTTTATATATTTTATATTAAACATAAAGTACTATAGAGAAAACTAAAAAGAAAAACTATGGTATTCCTTTTCCACTGTTTTCTTTTTTTTTATCCAGGGAAAGACCATGTTTGTAGATTTATTGGCTGTGGAAGAAATGATCGTTTCAACTATGTGGTCATGCAGTTGCAGGTATGTTACCTTTAAAATTTATCTTAAAATCTTTAAGTTTTGATCAAAGTGCCCATTATAGTAAATATGAATTTAAAATGACAGCATTCTTTCCCCCCTCCCCTTCGGTCTTTTTGAGACAGGGTCTCCCTGTAGCCCCAGCTATCCTGGAACTTACTATGTAGACCAGGCTGGCCTTGAACTCACAGAGATCCACCTGCCTCTGCCTCCCAAGTGCTGGGATTAAAGGCATGCACCACCACGCCCGGCTTTTATTTATATTTTATGTGTATAAATGTTTTGCCTGCATATATATAAGTGTGTGTATGCAATACCTGCAGAAGCCAGAAGAGGGTGTCACATCCCTTGGAACTGGAGTTATAGACAGTTGTTAGCTGCATGTGGGTGCTGGGAACCAAACCCAGGTCCTCTGCAAGAGCAGTTAGTGCTCTTAACCACGTCTTTTTGAGACAGGGTCTCCCTGTAGCCCCAGCTGTCCTGGAACTCACTTTGTAGGCCAGGCTGGCCTTGAACTCACAGAGATCCGCCTGCCTCTGCCTCCCTAGTGCTGGGACTACAGGCGTGCACCACCACGTCCAGCCCCAAAATGACAGCATTCTTATCATGTCTAAATGCTGTACACTGTGTACATGGAACTTTATTTAATGATAGAGATTTTTTAAAAATGAAGTAGTTGGCCTTGAAGCTGTTTCAGTTGATCTGTATCTTTACTGATTGCCATTTTTTGCAAAACTTTTAATTTCAGCATGGATTGTGAGCTATAATATGAGTCTTGCCCCTTCCCCATGCCTTCTCCCTCCATCTTTCTTACCTCAGGCATTTCAAATTTCCATTTATGCCCTCAAGTACCAGTCATTACTTTGAAGTTGTAAGCATTGCTTTCTGTGTTTCCTTCCATGTAATGATGTTCCCTTTCCTTTAGATGAGAGTAAAGTTGGGTTGAGAGAATATAAGTTCACATAGGGAATATAGCAGTAATGGTTATTGTAGGAAAAACAAAGAAACCATTCCATTTTCCTTGATGATACCTGTGTTCCTGACCACCCCCTCCCCCCAAAATTTAAAAGCCATGGTGCACCTATTGTCTGATTTTGAATTTTGAACATTTCCTTTCATCTTTAACAGACTTGGTTGTGGATGTTGGTTCCTTTATTTTCTTTCAAGTTCCCTAAATAATAGTAATTTTATATGCATAAATACTGGCCTAAATGTTTCTTCTCATTAGAAGGCTTTTCTTGTTTCCCTCAACTATCCTTCAGCATTTGACTTAGACCTAAAGATATTAACCTTTTTGTAAATTATAGACTTAAATTTTTTTTTAAGCAGTCTTAAACTTACTATATAGTCAAGACTGGCCTTGAACTCAAGATCTTCCTATCTTAATCTCTTGATTTCTAGGATTTCAGTCATGAGCTACCATCTCTGGCTTAAAATCTGTTTAAAAATTATTGCTAAGTTTTGAGGATGGGGAGAATGCCATGGCACGTATGTAGAGGTCAGAGGACAATTTGATGGGAGTCAGTCTCTCCTACCATGTGGGTCCCAGAGATTGAATTTAGGTGTCAGACTTGGCAGCAAAAGCCTTTGCCCTCTGGACCATCTCACTGGTCTTTAAAAGTCTTTTTGAGTTACATGATCCACCATCTATCTCATTAGCATAGTTTTATTTTATTGAAGTAATTTCCCTTTTACATTTTTTAATTCATTAATATGTACACTGTTTTCTTCCTCATTGGCCTCTAATAGAACTATATGCCTATTATTTTATTGTTTTGTTTATATATCTTGATTTTTCTGTATACCCCCATGGGATGGGGGGAGAGAGGACAGTTTTGATCCCCATTTTACAAATGGGAAAACTGAAGATGAAGGGAGTTTGTAGTTTGCAGTGGAGTAAACTTGATGGTTAAAGACTGCTGGAAGCCAGATGTTAATATCTTCATTCTAATAGAGAAAGCTCTTCAATTTGTCTTCAGACTATTATTAGTGAATGAAGAGATATATAGAAGAGGGTTTCTTAGACTACAGAATCTCTCTCAGTCTTAGAATATACTCATTCTTATTCTTAAAGTTACCTAAATCTCACTGTCTTTGAGTGGTAAGGCTCTTAGTACTAGAAAAACTAATAAGATTGGTGTATATCAGTAACGGGCACCTGGCAAGCTTCTATGGACTTGTCTAAGGACCTTTCCATTTGACTTGCATGCTATATATATATTTTTCCCATTACAAGAAAGTTAACATGGTGTACTTCCCTCTGTGTGTTGGAGCTGTGGTCTCCTCCTGTAAACCTGGAGCTGTGGTCTCCTCCACTGAGCTAGAGTGTGGTGCCACCCTGGGAACTGGAGCTGTGACCCCCTTCCATGAGCCAGAGTTGAAGCCCCCTCCTGTAAGCCTGAGCTGTGGTCCCTTCTTGTGAACATGGAGCTGTGGTCCTCTACTGTTAGCCACAGTTCCACTATCCTCTGGTGATAAATTGATGGTGGAGCAGGGTGGAGTATGGAGGACTTCTAGATGTTAGGCAGTAGTTTCAGCCTTCTCTTAGTGGCTGCTTTCCCCACAGCCCCCTTAATCTTAGGTCCCAGATTATGTATGGCAGTGGTTCTGCCTCTTATGCCAGGGACAGGGGAGGTCTCTATTATTTGAAGATTCTGGTCTTGGGAGGACTGATTCTCTAGAACGGTCCTCCCATTTCCCCCGAGGGCCAGTTGTGGTCTTCAGTCCACATGTGGGCCTGGGCATCCAGGCCTTTGATGTTGGCCCTCTCCCATTATCAGACACCAAGAGTTGTTTAATTATTTTTCTGTTACTCTTCTACAGCCCCAGTGTGCCTTCACCTGTGCCCTATGAAAAATATAAAACATCCATTTGAGCTTCTAGAGATAAAAATCAGTCTGGGAAATTTTTAAAAAAGGAATAGAGCCGGGCGTGGTGGCTCACGCCTGTAGTCCTAGTACTTGGAAGGCAGAGGCAGGCAGATCTCTGTGAGTTCAAGGCTGGCCTGGTCTACATAGTGAGTTCCAGGACAGTTGGGACTACAGGGAGACCCTGCTTCAAAAAGACAAAAA